CTGGGCCCAGGGTAGGCAGATGGGGGAGTTCCCTCAGTGTTTCCCTCGGCTTCAACAGAATCAACACCAGAGAATTTATTGATTTCCTCACCTACCTTGCCTAAATCGGAGTTATCCTCAGTAATCCTATCCCCTAGGAAGGAGACAGAGGAAATGATAGCTTCAAAAGAGGTAGACATGGTGGGACAAGAAAAAGGGAGCCTAAAGGTGCGATAAAGAGGAGGAACATTTGTAAAACACTCCCTAAGGGTTTGGGGAGCAACACAACAACTCCCAATAAGAAAGACCCTAGCGGTCGAATAAGGGTCTAAGAAAAAGGGAATATGAGACAGAGAACAACCTCAGTTTCTAAAATAATAGAATCGAAAGGTCCAAAAATACAGAAACCACCTCAAGTCTAAGGAATCCAGAACGAAGAGATAAATAGAGGGCAAGAAGTGTACCTAGGAGAGGAAGAACAGTGGGCCAAAGCCAAAATCAAGGGCAAAGAGCAAATCTCATCGAAACCACGGATTGAATCAGGAAAAATTGATTTCTCAGCGAAAACCTAGCGGCACCAACAGAATCGAAAGTTTGAAAGTTGCATGAAGAAGAGAGGGAAAAGTGTAGAGAGGGAGTTCAAAGGATGGAATGAGCCACTCCCCCTCAATTCGAAGGCATTTAAAACTAACGGTACAAAGCAAAGAACGTGCACGAGAAACTAGGAAGTGAAATGATTATCTAGAACAGTCAAAAACTTGTCCACACGCAAATCGAGGTCCACGTTTGGAGGTCTGCCTTGGTTAAGTCTCAGCTCAGCTCCTACCCAAGTTCACTTAGGATAAGGGCTGAGGGGCAACTGATGGTACTCAGAATAATTTTCAAGTATAATGTCAGACCAAAGAGGTCAGGAAAGACACGCAGAGCTCAGAGGATCAGAGCTAGAGCTCCCCCCAAATGCTCCAACAGCGAAAATAGTAAGGGAACAGCTGGATGACAATGGAAATACTATAGGTGGCAAAGAGCCATATTCAAGGCACAAAATCCTTTACCAGCCAAGATCCTCTCCTAAGATCAAAGAGAATTCCTCGGATAAATGACAAGGATTTCGGTGTAAATCTCGCTGAACTAGGGACAGCCTTATAAAAATTATGTAACTCCCCCAAGAGGAGGGGGGCCCTAATAACGTACAATTGGTCTTGTAAACTTTTGGTATGATCAATAAAGAAAAAAGGAGCAAGAGCTTCCATTGAAGAATGAATTAGCCGAGCTCCCGAGCTGGTGAACCACTATACTTTCACTCTGTCAATCCCCCAATTTCCCTCAATACCAATGCTTGTTCTTTCCAGCCTAATAGCTCAGATCCTGATAGTCATATACTGATCATCTCAGTTGTTCAAAATCACAAAAATTGCACCACATTTACGTTGATTTACACCATCAGAATTAATTGTGACTCAACTGGAGTATACTTGAGTTAATGAGAGCTTCTTCTTCGCCTAAAGGGAGCTTGTCATTGTCATTTTCTCTAAGTGAACAACCCCAAATCTATTAATAAATAGGTTCGTGTTATATACACTTTTCTCTTTCTACGTTCTCTAATAGATATTTTTAAAAAAATATGTTCCTTGAATTTTATTTTATCCTTAATCATACATATTTAGAAATTTTTTTCTTGGGGTCATCATTTTAAGATTGAATATTGAGTTATTGGAAATTGTTAAAAAATTTTGTTAAAAAATTTAGTTTGAGTTGAATTTGCACNTTTTCTTGGGGTCATCATTTTAAGATTGAATATTGAGTTATTGGAAATTGTTAAAAAATTTTGTTAAAAAATTTAGTTTGAGTTGAATTTGCACACTCATGAACTTGTACCGAATAAAATTTAAGCAACAATATTAAACTTAACTCAAGCCTAACCTTTGCCAATGACAATAAAATCGAACTTGAAGGCAGCGGTGGATTCACACCGGAGGCAGCTGCCCCACTGGAATTTTAAAAAAATGTGGGGTGTAAGTATAATTTTAAAAAATTTAGAATTCATTAGACATTTGCCCCCACTAAAAAGTTTTAAAAAATTTATGGGACTTGTAGTTCTCTTTGTGTTTTATTATTTTATGTATTCAATTGAAATTAAAGTTTGTAATCTTCTATTTATTTTGATATGTTGATATTAGAGTTTGTAGTCCCCTTTTATGATTTATTTTTTATATATTTAATTGATATTAGGACTTTTTATCCTCTCTTGTGTTTTATTTTTATGTGGAATTGGAATTGGGGCTTGTAGCTGTCTCTTTTATTTTATTCTTATATGTTGAATTAGAATTGTGGTGTATAGGCCTCCATTATGTGTTAGATTAAATTGTTTTGATTTGGTGGCTTGAATAGTTTTATTGTGATAGGTTAAGTAATTCTTATACCTAAATTTAGTCTAATAGAATAATGATAGTTTAAGTTAGTTTCTATTGTTTGTTAAAATTAATTGATGAATACTAACTTTATGACTGAACAAATTAATTTTTAAAAAATTAATTGCGCAATCGAATGAAAGATCAATGAATAAACAATTGCTTGGTTACATACGTTGAGAGAGTAATTTTAAGTACCATTGATAATGAAACTATCATACAACGCTTTCAAAATATGAAAACTTGTTAAGAGCAACTATGAATATTTATAGTATGTTCGACAATTTGGATTCTCTCATTATAGACTTAATATGTGATTGAGCCCAATTTTTTGGTTCAAATTTTTTTGTTAGGCCTTATAGATAAATTTATAGTGAATTTTTTTTTGTTGGCTCTTTTTTTACATCGCTCATGTATATGAGTTGTACCTTTAATTGACATTCTATTAATAAAAATATATTTTTGTAAACATTTAAAATTTTGACTATTGTTACTCCCATTGAAAAAGATTTCTGGCTCCACCTTGCTTGAAAGTACTATCTCCCTCCAATTATCTTCCCTAATGTGGTTCCTTAAAAGCACAAGTATCAAAATATAATAAAATCTATTAACAAGACACGAATACAATACGAAATTAGAGAGTTTAAGTATTTCTTAAGTCATCGGACTCGACACAATTAATAAACGAATCAAGTATAAATAAAATTAATCAAAAAATATGACACAATTCATGTATATATTTGTCATATATAATATATACATAATATGTGTCTAATATTACAAAATTCGTTAGGCACAAATCAATATATAAATCAAATGTAAATAAAGTATTTTTGACACAATACCGTTGCACACAACATGTTTTTTTTTTTTTTGGACGCTCAACATGATTGACATGCCTATTTAAAAAAGAATGCATAAACGGTAGCT